GCCACTCTATGGGCCGCACACATGCCGGCCGGCCTGACAGGAGGTTCACACATGGAGGCCACTACTGCAACTCTGCCACTGCACTGTGCATTACCATCCCACAGCCCCCTGAATGGCTTTGTGGGCAAGTGGTGCAGGGGCGCAGCAGTGCAGTGGCAGCCACTGTGTGTGGGCCACATAAGTGCTGCCCAGCTGGGGGGTGAAACAAGGGGCTTGCATGCAACGGCATGCCCCACAACTGGCTGCAAGGCTCCATGGTGGTGCGGGGTGGTGGCGGCTGCATGCAGGTTGGGGGGGCTTTGTGGGCAAGCACTGCAACTGCGGAGCCCTGCCCTTCACCCCTGGATGCTAGAGGTAAGTGGGGCTTGGGGGATGTAGGGCAGGGCTGGGGAAGTTGGTTGGGGGCTGAGGGAGTTGGGGGTGCTGCCGGCCCCAGACAGCACATTGCAACTGAGAGCAGGGCCAGGGGATGAGGGCAGAGGTGCCCCTCAGTAGGGGGGCTTTGCAGGCAAGCGATGCGGGGCGCAGTGTGGTGGTGCCGGCTTGCAGCCACGGTGAGGGATGGGGGTGCAGCAGGGGGGCTCACATGCGGTGGCTGCTGCCGCTTACCTGGAGCACCATGACAGCAGTGACAGCTGCTGCCTACAAAACCTCCCACTGCCGCCACAGAGCTGTGCAACCTGCCGCTGGGAGGCAGTGGCAGTGTGGTGGTGGCCAGGTGGCATACAGCCATCCCCACCACCACCCCGTGCAATGCCACTGCCATCAGCCGCACAGCTCCAAGCACGGCTCAGCGACACCAGCAGGAGGTTTTGTAGGCAGTGGCCATCACTGCCATTGTGGCACTCCAGGTAAGTGGCAGCAACCACCATGTACAAGCCCAAGCCCCCCACCCCACGCCCCCATTCCTCGCCATGGCTGCAGAGCTGGCCATAGAGTTGAGCCCCAGCTGCATGCCAGCCTCCCCCTCCCCCGGGCAGGCGGCATGTGTGCGACCCACATGTGGCGGGCACCACCACACTATGCCCCACATCACTTGCCCTTACCCCCTGGCCTTGCTCCCAGCTGCTATGTGCCACCCAGGGCTGGCAGCACCCCCCACTCCCTCAGCCCCCAACCATCTTCCCCAGCCCTGCTCCACAGCCCCACTTACCTCTGTGCTCCAGGGGCAAAGGGCAGGTCTGAGCCTGGCCTTGGCTACCTCAGAAACTCAGGCCCCGCCTGCCCTTCCCCCCCTCCCTCCCGCTTCGGGCAGGGCTGGGGGTTTCCTGCCCTTTTTGCAATCAGTTCTTGCAGGCTGGAGCTGCGCCAGCCTGCAAGAGCTCTTTTCAAAAGCAGAGAATCTGTGGATTTCTCTGCTAAAAAGGGAAATCCACATTTTCTCCAGTAAAAACAGGGGATCTATGGTTTTTTCTATTTTTCTGTGGGAAACGGAAAGCCCCGATCCCTGCTCTTAAGTCTTGCCTCCCAGGCTTACTAATAATTTTTTTTGGTTTTCTCCAGACATTTTCCAAATTGTCCACATCCTTCTTGCTACTTTGCTGCGTAGCACAAACTAGACACAGTACTCCAGATGAAAATACACCAGTGTTGACTATAGCAGAAGACTCCTCAAATTTTTTTTGGTCCTTGCACTCTCATTTCAGTCCCAAGGACTAACGTGGAGCAGTCTTTGGGGCACCTTTGGCTTGCAGTTGCCCACGGACATTAATGGTCATTCACATTTCTGCTATGGGGTAACCTTTTCCTGCCAAGTTTGGAGGCGTCCTTTTGACCTGGTGTAAAGGACTGGAGAGGATCTTACTCCCTGGTTTTCACGAAGTCCCAAAAGGATTAAATTAAGGCAAATTGCATGACTTCCCTAAAGTACTTTACTGACATACAAAACTGTGTTTACCCCCATGTATCTGAAAAAATGTATATACCAATATGTACCTGAATATAGGCAAAAGGTTTTATTCCCCCAATCAGCATGGGGGGGTAGAAAAGTTCCTCATCTTATATTCACATATGAAGTGGAGCAGGTAACAGGCAGCTGCTGCAGCTGTGATTCTGGCCCTGAACTGAGGTCAGGCCCAGGGTCAGCCTCCTGCCTCCTCTCTGTTTCCCCTCTGCAGCTTCTGTCCCCCCACCCAATCTCTTCCCCTCCCCCCCTTACTGTCAGGTGCAGCTCAGCTCTGCTGCAGCTGGAGTCTCTCCCGAGCACCAAGTCCATGGAAACTTTTTTTGTCTGCTTAGCTTAGGAGACCACAGGGAGAACATTGCCATTTTGGCATAATTATATTTCTGTTCTGTAGAACTCTTGAATGATGTATTGGGAGTTTTATACACAGTAATATTTTTAAGCAGTAATGTTATATCAGATGGGGCTGGGTAGAAAATTTTAAACTGTGTTTATCTACTGAAAAATAATTCTGTAAAATGGCATCAGTCTATTCGAAGTTCAGCTTTCACTACCAGTGCATTTTGCTCATTGTGTGCATCCCGCACTGTCAGCCTAGAATTTCAAAGGCCTCACTAATTCTGATGTCTGATTTTGGCCTCACTAATTCTGATGTCTGAGTTTAGCATTTGCCACCAGAAAAATCAGATTCTGTAATCAGAACTTGATCCAGGACAGAGGAGAAACCATCCCTTTTTCTTTTAGCTATATTGGCATTGCAGTGCAAATTCAGATGGACATTTGCAAGTGAAATAGTTGTAACTTACATTGGACACCAAAATCAGTATATGAGGATTTGAAATGCACAGTAAACTCTTTTCTTGAGTAAGAAGGTACCATTAATAAGTAGTAATTTCCTAACTGTAACTGTCAGGGATTTCTTACTGAAAAACAAATGAGCTGCTGTTACGCTAGACAGACTAGTAAAACACTTATGTTTCTCTTTGGAGAGAGTGATAAATGGTACCATTGATCACAAACTGGGGTTTGTTTGTGGCTATGGGAATTTCTAAGAAAGTGCAAGAAGTGTTTCTGGGATGGGGCAGTACAGGTGTTCAAACTGCAACCACTTCCTCTCCCCTTCCCTCTGAAGCTTCACCAGATTGGGATGATCCAAGTGTAGGGATCTGTGGCTGCTCCACTCCTCCCGGTGGGGAGCAGGGAAAGACTCCTCTCACCTTCCCCACACTGGGGAACCCCAGATTAGGAAATAGCAGGGCCACTACCACCTCTGTTTTTGTTCTGGTTTCTGGGAGCGGAACAGAGGGAGCAACAGGGGAAAAAACCCAGACCAGACCAGGCGGCTCATCTCCCTTCCCCTCACAGATCAGTCTAGAAGGGGAGGAGAGTAAGCCCCCAGGTCATTTTCCAACATCAGCAAAGTGGTAAGGAGCATTGCCCCCCCTGTTCCCCTCCGCTCTTGAACCGGACTGGGAGAAGAACATAGAGGCATTCATTCTTGCAAGGGAGATCATCCAGGTGTCAACCTGGAAGATCTTTCTGTTGGGTTATGGGGCATATTTCCACCAGGAGAAATGGCTTGTACACTACTAGGTTCTATTGGGAGAACAGGGATTCCCTTAGTAGCAGCATAACACCTATACATGGCCATTCTTTTTGCACAGCTGTAACTTGCTCTGAAAGTAAGTCTATCATCATGCATTGGTCTTTGACCATGGGTATACAATAAGAAAAGTAAAGTTGTCATCTCCTGACTGTTGAAGTAGCAGCAACTGTTGTTAGATCAATGGTAATTTTACCCGTTAATGATTTCAGGTAACTGCTGGTGCCCCTCTGAAGAAAGAATACACAGAAGAGGTAAGAGCAGTTAATATAAAACATAATCTACCTTTAAAAAAAAAAGTCATGTAATTGCCAGTACTTTTGCCAGCTCTAAAATAAGAGGAGACTGGACAGGTCCCAAATTCAGAAACACCTACAATAGATGCAACAAGTGCTCCTAAACAGACTTTTTAGTGTAAATAAAAATAAATTCCAAAATTATACACATGAAGGGGAAAAGCTTTCTATTTACTGGGATGTGTGGGTTGGATGTAACATCGCAATAAGAAAACAGTATTAGTATCCTGTTACAGAGGTCATGGGATAACATTGAGTATTATTCCATCCTAGTTAGTTTAGTAGAGTATCTGTCCCAACATAGTTTGAAGTAGTTTTTTTGTTCTGTCTGAGGTAATTTAAGTGTTAGCTGCTCAGAAAGGAACCGAATTGAATTTTAATTAAATGTTAACTTATCTGAAATGCACCTTTTTTTTGTTTCAGGTTAAAATCTAACTTTTTCACTTAAAGGAAAACACTTGCACTTTTTTTACTTAAAGCAAAACACTTTGCACTAATTGCTAACTACAGTGGAAATGTTGGAGAGATTATTGACTTCATGAGTTTCAGCAACTGAAAATAGATCTTGGAATATTGTATGGATTCATGTTCTAACCAAAATGGTCCCTGAAGGAGTCTACTTGTATCATTGCTGTATGAAAAAAGAGTTACTGATGACTATTATCTGTTGACATCTCTAAGTCAGTGTTCACTTCATCCTTTAAAACAGTGGTGCTCAAGTTCTTGCCCCCACCAACCAGATGAATGTCATGAAGCCAGTCTGCAGGCTGGGTTGGGCTCTGTGCTGCTCCTGCCGGGCCTTGCATGCCAGTACTGGGCCCTGCATATGCCCAATTTAGCATTCAGGGCTGCAGCCTATGGGGTTCCCCCTGAATCCATAGGAATCCTCTCAGGTCAAATGACACGGTGCTTGGGGCCAGATTTGCTCTGTGGACCAGGATTTGAGCACCTCTGCTTTAATGCAGTTGCTAAGATCAGTTGTTACAATTCTGGTATATATTGGGTATGTTCATTTAAAAGGTATTTTTTCTGAAGGTATTTTATTTGTGTTTTGAGAGCAGAAGTTAGTTCCAAATTCTGAGATCCTTTAGGACAGGGTTGTCAAAGCTATCACTCGCAGGTCAAATCTATCCCATGGAGCCCTGTCATCTGGCCCCTGGTGCTGCCTGTGGGTCTTGGCTTAATCGCCCCAAGCACCTGCGCACAGTGCCTGCTCCAGTATGCTTTGGCTCTATGCCACATCTAGAGGCATGTCCTCACGTGGCCACTGCATGCCTATAGGGCCAAATGAGTTCAACACATCTGCTTGAGGATTTAAATAGTTGAAATTATGGAACTCCTTCTGTTTCCATTTACCTTGACATTTCTAAGTAAAATGAAAATATATTTGTCAGAAAGTAGTAGTACTGTATTTAATAACTGTAAACATAGAACCAGTGTGCCAAGAATAGCATTGTCTGTACTAACTGTTCACAAGAAACGCAAGGACCCACTATGTTCAAACATCATAAATGAATGATCAGAAGGACTGAAACATTTGGAGGTTTTTTAATTCATAAAAAATCAAGTGTTCTGTCCAGTCTTGGGTGTCAAGAAAATACACCTTAGTCTCAGTGTAAGGTTTAACGCATGATTCAAGCAGAACATGATATATTTGGTTTTTAAACGTGTTCTAAAACAGGTATTTTTTTCCCCTTGTTAACAAGAAATCATTATGGTAGAGCATTTGTCATGTAATAATGCTTAGTTCTTAATAGTGCTTTTCATCAGTAAATCTTAAAGTAATATAGTTGCAGAAGCTTTAAAAATGAATGGTTTATGGCTAAAGTAACTTGCAAAACAGTGGGAAAATTCCTAGTCTGCTGCATTTCCCATGGGAAATCAGTATATGGCCTTGACAAAGCCTGAAGGCTCCAACATGCACTGAAAAACACAAGTAAGTCCCCTGGACTGCATGTGTATTTACTAGTGAAAATATTTTTTTATATGTATATGTGAATGAGCAGATACATTGTTTGGAAGGCTTGCCTGTTGTTCTGAAGTTTCCAAAGTGTGTGAGTCCTGTAAACTACATTACTTGATTCCCCTTCCACTGTCATCAGTAGAAATTTTCTGTTCACTTCAGTTGGAGCTGGAGTTGGCCATCAGTTTGGGAAGCTTTTAATATATGAGGATTTATAGCTTAGTAAAATGCTCAATTTAATGTTGTCTTACAGGTTCAGTGATATTGCTCCCAGGACTTTGATTGAAATAAATTCTTCCTAGTTTTGAGACTGGGAAAGGAAAGAAATGGCTAGTCTATCTCCAGATTGGTCCTCGAGGGACCTGCTGAATAGAGCATCCAGAGAGGAAAAATATGAGCCAATATTAATCCTCTGCTGTAAAGCTGCAGCATCTGTCTTTACTGAGCTGTATTACCATGTAATTCCTTTAGATGGAGCCACGGGTTAGAGTAGGGGAAAACTGTCAGCAGTCTACACCATTGCCAGTGTCTTGTGTCACCAGCCACCAGACAGTTCTGGCATCTTATTTATTGACTAGCAGCCAGTCAGCAGCAGGACTGTCTTGCTTTTGTCCCAGAAATGAGCAGTCTGGCAATAGTAAAATGAACAATCTGCTCAAACTTAAAAGTTCTGTACCCAGCTTAGTTATATGATGTGGTTGTCCTCATTGGAATAAAAATTATATAAGTGAAGGCATCCTGTACGAAGCCCATTTAGAAGGTTATCTGTAACTCAAAAATAATATCCAACCCTGTTGTGTTTGATTTAATTTCTGGGAACTTCTTTGGCTAGACAAGATTTAATTCATTGTGCCATTATGTTTTTGTTTAATTATCCAGAATCTCCAGCTGGTAGCTGATGGCTGCTGTAATCTACAGAAGCAAATTCAAATTGCTCAGCTCTTTGGAGTTCCTGTTGTGGTTGCTCTAAATGTCTTCAAGTAAGTCTGTCCTTTACTTACTTGAGTAGATTTTACTCAGGTTTATGGCTTTAGCAGTAGATATAAACACAGTACCCTGTGGTTTACTACTTCATCTCCTATTCATATCTATTAAATGGGAGAGCAAGTGAAGATCCAAGAAGCTTAATCAATTTTGCTTTGCTTTACTTTATCGTTTAAGTTATAAACATTCTACTCAGTGTGACCCAATTAAACATTTCCTGTTTACTCCTTAAAATATTTTTATATTATAACATTTGGAATCTACAGCACTACATTTTTATCACTCACCTGACTTTTTAGTTGTTTTAAAAATCAAGCAACAATGGCATGGTGAGAGCTCTTAAAAGAAAGAGGGAGAATTTGGCTATGGATTCCAGGAAGGTTATCTCATGGCAGGGGCCAGGATTCATTTAACTTCTCATTCCTCCTTACAGTTATAAAGGTTTGAAAAACCTGTTTCCTGCAAAAGTTTTTTCAAATTTCTTAATTCTGCCTAATGGTATTGCATGTGATTTTTATTACTAATTTAAATCTATCATATTAGCACTTTAAACTGGGGTTTGTAGAAATGATTTGCGTAATTTCTGTAATTGGCTCATTTTGTAATTAACTGTATAAAGCAGCTAAATAAAGAAGTGCATAAGGTGGGAAGAAATTAATAAAATGATTAAATAAAACTGTTTCATTGGCAGAACTGATTCCC